AGTACTTAATACTTAGCATTTAAGGCTCAGCGCCTATAGTTCAGCAGCTAGGGCACCAGCCACATACACCAGAACTGGTGGATTTCAACCCAGGCCAGGTCTGTCAAACAATAATGACAACTACAACCTGGCTTTGTGGCAAGCACCTGTAATCTCAATACTTAGAATTTAAGTATAGCTAAATATAGTGGATTCTTAACATGTAGTTCACCTATGACATGTAAAGACAAGGAAATTAAGAACCAGTGAGATTAGTGAAGAGACTTCAAAATAATCACACAAAACCAGGTTGTGGTGGAGCCAAGACTACATTCAATGATTCAGAGGTTAAACAAATGCCAACTATAAGAAAACACAATAGTGCACCTGTGATAAATTATCTGTTCTGCTTGTTTAACTAGTTTGAGGTGGGCTATAGCACTTACACTTCAGGTAGTCCTGGGTTACAGGTCTATCAGGCAACTTCATAAGTGGCCTTAGGGAAATGGACCAAAGAGCTGGAGGCTGTGCTGATCTCGACACTCCATCTCCCAGGCTAGAGTATTATGGCATCATTGATTGAGCTCACAGCTACCTCAAACTCCTGGACTCAAGTAATCCTCCTGCCTCAGTCTCCCGAGTAGCTGGGATTATAAACATGTGCCACCACGACTGGCTAATTTTTCTACCTTTCTGTAGAGATGGGATCTTGTTCTTGCTCAGGCTAAACTTGAACTCCTGGCCTCAAGCAATCTTTCCCTCTTAGTCTTCCAAGTGCTAGGATTACAGGTATGAGCCACTGGCCCTATTTATATCTTAGATTACTTCAGTTTCAAGATTACCAGCACCTAACTAACCAGCCAGTTTCTGGAGACTTACAGAGCACAATGGTAACAACTACTGTTCTGGTCTACCCTGCACTGTCCTTTCTTGTAGTAAGAGTAAGTAACATTACTATGTTGGCCCAATGCCATCTCAAACCCTTTGGAAGTGTCTAGTCCAAAGGCAAGCAAATGACTCAAGCAAAAACAATTCAAATTTTCCCTGAGATTAATATGTGGCTGTTGGGAGAGAGGGATTCGTTACAGGAGTTGTCATGCTAGGACAGACAGAAACAATCTATTCCTTGTCACACAGAAGTCCTCAATAGTAGGAGAGAATAAGGGATTGGGGGGGGGCACCGAGAGAAAGAGAGAAAGGGAGAGAACACTGACAATATTGTTTGAGACTCAGTCTAGTTTGTCCCTGAAACCAAAATCACCTCTGGGCCTTCTCAATATTGGGAGCCCAAAACTTATCTTTTCTATTTGTTTACTTTCATCAGGTTTATAATATATAGTCCTAGATTATGGCAAATCAGGAAGCTTGAAACCATAAGAGAACTCTACCTGACATTATCTAATTGAAGCTGTACATGCATGTGTCTTTCGGAAAGGTTGTTGAGTTCTTGCTCTTGATTCTCTTTGAATGAACTATACTCCAGTTTCACTGAAGAAAGCTCTTTGTCAGCAGAATGAAGGACTACTCGCAGGTCATGCACCTCACTTTTCAAAACTACAAACAAAAACAAAAATCCCAAATTCTTAACATATAACCTTACAAGAATTTTTTAAAAAGCAGACAAACTGCTAGGCATAAAGGCTCATGCTTATAATCCCTGCAATTCATGAGGCTGAGACAGAAGGATCATTTGAGCCCAGAATTTTGAGAATAGTGTGGACAACATGGTGAGACTCCATCTCTAAAAAAAAAAAACCATAAAAAAAATTAGCTGGCTTTGATAGTGTACACCTGAGAGGCTGAAGCAGGAAGATCTCATCAGCCTAGGAGTTCAAGGCTGCAGTGAGCTCTGATTGCACACTTCAGCCTGAGCAACAGACTGAGGTCCTGTCTCTTTAAAAAAAAAGAAAAGAAAAGAAAGCCGGCAAATATATTTAATAGGAACTATTTCCACAATCAGCAAAAACAAGTTGAAGAGATCATTTTAAGGAAAGGTGTTGAACAACTACTTGGCAGGTGCCTAAGCAAACTGAGATTTCTTTTTTTTTTTTCTCTCTCCTGCACATGGTTTTTGATACAGTTTTACTGAAAAGGGAAGAGTTAACATTTCTCCCTGACTTAGAGGTCACTTGATTTTTCTAAATTTCTACTGCAGTATGTGCATTTAAACTCTTAAAATAAGGAAAAACAATTGAAAGATTTAACACATTTTAAATGCCCTAATCTTAGTTACTGAAAATGACCTGGAAAGTTAGGAACATGTGTTTCCTTTTTAAAAACAAAAAAATCCCATGACAGATTAAAATCTTTCTGGTTTTGTGAGGAAACCCTAACTATAAATAAAGCTAAATACTTTTTTAGATCAAAGAAAATAGAATGGCTATCTTTTGTTTTAGTTTTATTAAAACTACTGCCAATACTGTGAGGAAGGGAGAAAATAAACTGAAAAACAAAAAAAACCCCAACTTAGGAACCAAATGATACTCCCACATCTATAAATATATACAAACATAGAATGTATGCTTTATTTTGCCAATATTAAAATACTCATCTTATGAATTCAAGATACTTCATTTTTAAAGCAGTATAATTAAAACATTAAGCAAACATTTGTATCACTTGTTTGTGAGCAATCCTGGAGAAAATTACCTTTTATGACAGGGGTTCTCAACCTGTGGGTCGCAAACCACAGGAACTGTATTAAAGGGTGGTGGCATTAGGAAACCTGAGAATCACTGTTTTATGACATATTACTGGTACTCACCACTGCCATACAAACTCGAGTCTGTTCATCTGACAACAACCAAACAAAACATAGGAACAACATTTCTTATATAAAGTAAACAGATACAATATTATTCAGGTCACAAAGCTTCCCATTGTTTAAACTTACAGTCATTCTTAGTTTGAGTGTCTCGAAACTGCTTTTCAAGGACATTCAACTGTGAGAGAAGCTCTTGCTGATGTTTGGTCCAATCAGTTCTTTCTGATGCAAAAAGCTTTAGGAAAGAGATATATTTACTGGAAAAGGAATACTAGCATGGTAAGATGCACTCCAAATCATTAATTTGTTTCTTCCTTTTTTTTTTTTTTTAGAGACAGAGTCTCATTTTGTTGCCCTCAGTAGAGTGCCGTGGCGTCACAGCTCACAGCAACCTCCAGCTCTTGGGCTTAGGTGATTCTCTTGCCTCAGCCTCCCAAGTAGCTGAGACTACAGGCACCTGCCACAACGCCTGGCTTTTTTTTGTTGCAGTTTGGCCAGGGCTGGGTTCAAACCCACCATATGCTGTATATGGGCCCAGTACCCTACTCACGTAGCCACAGGCGCTGCCCTGTTTCTGTTTTTAAAGTCTAGTTTGAAGGCCTCCTAAAATTGGCTGTCTCAATGAACTATAGAGATGACGACCAACAAAGTAAAGGATCATTGTAAGAAAACAGACTGTCCATCTTGCTTTCTTCTAAACACACAGCAAGGGATCCATTTGCACCATAGACTAACTGGGCCAGAATCCAAACTATGCATGGCTATCTCATTATCAGAGTAACAATGTACAGAACAGAATTCAAATGAGCTTTGACTAGGTCTGTGTGAAGACATTTTCTTCCCTTAATACTCTTACTTTGAGGATATGTTTCGTCTGTGTGAAGACATTTTCTTCCCTTAATACTCTTACTTTGAGGATACGTTTCATACATTTTCTGAAGTCACGCTCTCTCGCTCTCACCTCCTGCATTTGGGTAGAATGATGTTCCAGTTTGTCAACATGCTGCTGAAGCTTTAGGTTTTTGTGTTCTTCTTCATCCAACTTAACTTGAAGAGCACTCATTTGTTCCTGCAAGAAGAAAAGTTCAGTTGTTAAAAAGTCTTTTAATGGAACTCCCAAATATTCTACCATTTCTTACAAATTAAAGAGACAAAAACCAAAATAAAACAAACTCTAAGCTACATATGGACAATGGTATCAAAGGCCTGTTTGCAGCCAAAAAACAACGTCAAAGGTCTATATACTAAGGACTCCTATGTTTTAGAACTGTACTTGTGGTCCATTAAAGTATATCATTTGAAACACAAAGAAGTGAGTAAAGTTAAAAATCTTAGATTAGATTATAAAGCCTTCTATAGATTTCTAAGAAATCTTGAGGTATATGGGGTCACCTTACCAGAAAGTTTTCCAAGGCCTTAAAAAGGCAAGTTATTGGAATTTGGGGTGGTTCCAAAAACTTGGCCCACTCCAAATTTTACTGGACAGTAGAAAACCTTTTTAAAAAAATTACCAAATCACCAGAACTCTGAGACATTCAAATTTCACATTATTGCAAATACACTGAAAGCTGTCTAAAATTTGTTCTATAATAAGATTTAATTTTCTTTAGCAGATTGTGCCATATAAACCAGTTATGGGACTTAAAGCTAGTAGCAAACTGGTGATTTTATACAGGGGGAATCAAAGCCCTTGGAAACTGGAGAATGACTTGCTAAAGACTCAAAAGCAAATAAAATACAAGAGTGGGCTGATTTCCAAGCCAGAGATATTTACACATTCACACTTAAAAAGATATGATTTCAGTATTAACCAGGATCGAACTCCACAAATTATAGGAATTAAAATGATAGACAAAGCAAATTTACTTGAATGAATGAATGATTATTTTTTTCTAGAACTAAACATTACCTGTACTGTTCTAAGCTCTTCGGAAATGGCCTCAAAAGCTTGCTCATTCATCTCAGGTGGAACTGGCTCATTTAATATATCATTATCTAATAGGTTAGAATTCTGAGTATGTATAGAGCCAAAGATCCCTGATTCGGGGCTTAATTTTGGGACTAGTCGAGAACGAAGTTGATAAGCCTTTGTTGGTGTAGTTATAATCTGCAGTGAAAAAATGATAATGAAAAACAACATTAGCAAACATGAAAAAGATCATATTTCCGAACAGAGAAGATAATACCGGAATTATACTCATCAAAAGGAGAAAGTGTGCTTGATAAAGAGCATAGCAATGTCCCAAGTGAAAATGAATTTATCAATACAATGCAGTTCCAAGCAAAATTCTAATATGATTTTTAAAAATGAAACTTGGGCGGCACCCATAGCTCAGTGGGTAGGACACCGGCCACATGCACCAGGGTTGGTGGGTTTGAACCCAGCCCTGACCTGTAGTCCCAGCTACCCAGGAGGCTGAGGCAAGAGGATTGCTTAAGCACTCTACCAAGGCCAACAAAGTTAAGACTTTGTCTCAATAAAAAAATAAATAAATAAAACTTGATAAGCTGATATCCAATTTCATATGAAGAATGTATAAGAGGCAAGACAATTAAAAAGAGAGCAAGTTAAGGAGACTTCTTCACCTGACATAAAAATACATTATAATGGTATGGTAATTAAAATAGAACAGTATTAGCATATGTATGGTCAAATAGAATGTTGGGGAAAAAATAAAAAAATCCAGAAACAGATTTACGCACGGAAATATCAAATGAATGATAAAAACAAAATATTTTTGAAAAAAGTTAATTCCTTCTCATATTATTAAAAAATAGCAGATGCATAAACATTTCTTTTTCTTTCTTTCTTTTTTTTTTTTTTTTGAGACAGAGTCTCACTTTATCACCCTGAGTAGAGTGTTGTGGCATTACAGCTCACAGCAACCTCCAACTCCTGGGCTTTAGCAATTCTCCTGCCTCAGCCTCCCGAGTAGCTGGGACTACAGGTGCCCGTCACAACACCTAGCTATTTTTTTGTTGCAGTTTGGCAGGGCTGGGTTCAAACCCACCACCCTCAGTATATGGGGCTGGTGCCCCACCCACTGAGCCACAGGCACTGCCCAAGATGCATAAACATTTCCATGTAAAAACAAAATTAAGGGCATAAAACTCCCAAAGACAAAAATCAATAAGCCTGACTACATCAAAAATTTAGAATATAACAAAAGCATCACACGTGAAGATGAAGACAAGTAACATGATGGAGGAGTATACTGGCAATACACATAACAGAAGAGGAATACATAAAAATTCCTACAAATCGGCTCGGCGCCTGTGGCTCAAGCGGCTAAGGCGCCAGCCACGTACACCTAAGGTGGCAGGTTCGAATCCCCAGCCCAGGCCTGCCAAACAACAATGATGGCTGTAACCAAAAAATGGCCAGGCGTTGTGGTGGGCGCCTGTAGTCCCAGCTACTTGGGAGGCTGAGGCAGGAGACTCGCTTGAGCCCAGGAGTTGGAGGTTGCTGTGAGCGTGATGCCATGGCACTCTACCCAGGGGGACAGCTTGAGGCTCCGTCTCAAAAAAAAAAAAAAAAAAAATTCCTACAAATCACAATATAAACCCCTAAACAAAGGATCCAAGAGAGACTTCAACTTGGGTCTTCCTCGTCGCTAGAAGCTCTGGTGCTTTTTTTACTGCTTTTGTATCCCTTTCTATCTTATATCTTACTACTAAAAAAAAAAAAAAAAAAAAGAATTCCTACAAATCAGAGAAAAAGATAAATAACAAATAGAAAAATGTGTTCTGTGTTTTTCATGGAAAAGGATATACAACAAATGAACACGAATGTAGGAAATGATATTCAATTTCACTAGAAATGAGGGAAATGAGAATTAAAACCTTTACAACACTTTTCACCCATCAGATTATCAAACTAAAGAGTCTGACAATGCCAGTTACCAGGGACAGTGCAGGGAAATAAGTGTGTACATTCTAGGAAGGCACATGGTGCAGCCCCCAGGAGGGGACTGCGGCTCAAATGCTAAGACTGAATTCCTAGACTGAAACGTCTCCAACAGAATCCACTCCAGAGAACGCATGTGTTGGAAACCATCTAAACAACCCATGAGTCATCCAAAAACACAGAAGCCTGGGTTTAAAATGAGGTAGTATTTTGGGTACCAGTTAATGTGGACAGGCATAACCCCAAGTTAACAGAACCATATTACAGAATAACACATGCAGGACGACTCCATTTTTAACAAAGAAACAAAACAATCAATCTATGAAACAACTTTATGTATTTTCTCAATCTGTGCATATTTACTATACAAAAATGCTAACAAAAAGGACTAAATTACTTTGAAAGATGGGGGATAAAAGGCTAGATTAGACCCAGATTGACAGTGATGCCCAAAAGGAATTTTAACCTTAACTTATATATTTATCTCTTTCAGACAAAGAGAAGGTATTCATAAAGTACTTCCACACTAAACCCAAGCCATGACAAAGGATCTAAATTGCTATGCCATTTGTGGTAAACATTCTAATCCTCTTAGTCCTGTTTGCTCGGTTATAAAGAGGATGTTGAACTAGAATGGCTCTGTAACTCTACTGTGCTAAGGGGCTGTAGGCACAGGATTATAAAACATCTGGCAATCCTCTCCAAGTACTTTAAAATAATTTCCTACAAAGACTTCAAAGGTTGCCTTTTTTGAAAAGAAAAACATTCTTTTATAAGGGAAGAATAGCATTTTATAGGTTAAATAGATCATGACATAGCCATTTGATAGATTCTTATTCAGCTGCCAAAATAAGTCAAAAGCCAAAAAACAAACAAAAATCAAAAGGAGATAAAGTTCTTTTTTTCCCTAAAGACATGGGACAAACTTGGTTCAGTGCCTGTGGCACAGTGGTTACAGCTACATACACTGAGGATGGCAGGTTTGAACCTGGCCAGGGCAAGGTAACAACTGCAACAAAAAAATAGCCAGGCACTGTGGTGAGTGCCTGTAGTCCTAGCCACTTGGGAGGCTGAGGCAAGAGAATCGCTTAAGCCCAAGAGTCTGACGTTGCTGTGAGCTGTGATGCCACCGCACTCTACCAAATGGGACAAACTCTAAAATACGGCTTATATTTAAAACACACACATACCCCAACCATAGAATGATGTATTATGCCACTATTTGTATAAAATAAGAAAACACTTGACACTGATTACCTCCAAAGAGGGTCTTGATTGGTTGGAAGGACAGCAGAAAGAGACTTGCCACTGAGTGAATGAGTAGTATCTTTCATGCCATTAAAACTTTTAGTCATGTGAATTATTCATTCAAAATGAATTATTTTTCAAAGTAGTTTTCTACTAAAAGACACACAAAGCATCACTGCTAACAATAACCATTGTATTTATTTATTTATTTATTTTTGAAACAGGTTCTTGCTCTGTTGCCCAGGCTACAGTGCAGTAGCATTATCAAAGCTCACAGCAACCTCAAATTCCTGGGTTCAAGAAAGGCTCTTGCCTCAGCCTCCTGAGTAGCTGGGACTATAGGCACACACCACCATGTCTGACTAATTTTCTTATTTTTTATAAAGACAAGGTGTTGCTCTGTTGCTCAGGCTGGTCTCAAACTCCTGGCCTCAAACAACCTTCCTATGATGGGCTCCTATAGTGCTTAGACTACAGGCCTGAGCCACTAGCCTGGCAAACATCTATTTATTTTTAAGTTTAAGATCTACATGTATAACGAAAGTTTGGGGGTTTATATTATTTTTATTTATTTTTTTTAGAGACAGAGTCTTACTTTATTGCCCTCAGTAGAGTGCTGTCACATTACAGCTCACAGCAACCTCCAACTCCTGGGCTTAGGTGACTCTTCTGCCTCAGCCTCCCAAGTAACTGGTACTACAGGCGCCTGCCACAATGCCTGGCTATTTTTTGTTGCAGTTTGGCTGGGGTCAGGTTTGAACCCACCACCCTACCCACTGAGCCACAGGCCCCGCCCTTTCCTTTATTTTAGAAAGGTAGTCTCACTATGTTGCCCAGGCCTGACCTGAATTCCTGGGCTCAGGCAATCTTCCTGCTTCAGCCTTACAAGTGGGACCACAGGCGCAGACCACCACACCTGGCTAAGTTTTTTTTAAAACCTTCATTGAATTTGATATAAAAGTCAAAATCACTATCACGAGCATCAACATCATCATCTTCTCATCCTTTTCCTTTCCTCTCTCCTCATCCTCAGATGTCCACACATTTTCTTCTTTTACAAAAGTTAAAGAAGTTTACTTAGGAGGAAAAAAACCCTTCTGTTATCCTCACTGTCATCTGAGGTCTAGGATTTCTATGCTTCACTGTAAGCTTTGAGCACATGTCACATTATAGCAATAGTTGCCATTTACTGAGATCTACCAGGTTCCAGGTACTTCATCAATTATCTAGTTTACTACACCCCCAATTTAGAGAAAAGAACAGTAAGATTCAGAAGTTAGGAAACCTGGCCTAAAGTTAGCAGCAGATTAGAATTAGATTCCAAATGCTAACTGCCCTCCTACCCTACTCTGCCATCAGAACACTAGGACCAGCTCAGCGCCTGTGGCTCAAGTGGCTAAGGCACCAGCCACAGACACCTAAGGTGGCGGGTTCGAATCCAGCCCGGGAGCCAAACAACAATGACGGCTGCAACCACAAAACAGCCGGGCACTGTGGCGGGCGCCTGTGGTCCCAGCTACTTGGGAGGCTTAGGCAGAAGACTCACATGAGCCTAGGAGTTGGAGGTTGCTGTGAGCTGTGATGCCATGGCACTCTACCCAGGGGAACAGCTTGAGGCTCTGTCTCAAAAAAAAAAAAAGAACACAAGGACCACTGTGACCGTCTACAAGGGACTCTGATCATGAATATTCTGTCCATTATTATTAGTAAAATGAGATTGTACTGATTTAAGATAGAAATATTGCTTCAGTTTACATACCTTAAGTGTTTCAGCATGAATTTTATTCAGCTGGGAAACTTCCTGCCGCTTACAGGCTTTTGTTGCTTCCAAAAGGTTTTCAAGATTAAGGTTTGCTTTTTGCAAAGACTGAAGTTCTGATTCCAATTCTAGCTGCCTTTTCCTAAGAGACATTATAAGTATTTCAGGTAATAAGTAATGTCAAATGCTAATAGAGTAATTTATAGATACTTTCACATAACCTTAGTTATGTCTTTAAATTAGAGATATTCTTTCAGATTATTTCCCTCACTTTCTAATTAGGTAAAATACAACTTAGAAATTGATGACTGCTTGAGGTATTCAGCTAGCAAATGGTAGAGCTCAAACTCAAAAGTCCAATTACTCCATCATGATACCATATGTGATGTTAATTCTAAAACAAATACTTCATTTTATTTCAGGGTAGGATTTATCACAGCTGTAATATGAATGTAATTTATCTTTGCTTTCTTTTACACAATTAGAATCAAGAATATTAATAAACCTATAATTTCTATAACTCTTGATTTATAGTTCTTAACAATATGATTTAAATTTTGCAATCAGATAATTCGAGATGAAAAATTTGAGTTCAACAGATACTGATCTCATGGGAGAGTACTGTTTAAAACATCTGTATTTCTAGTACATTAAATATATTATTAAAGAATTAGAAACAAGCCCTTTTGCTTCATGTTAAAATAGCTGCTTCTATGAAAGTTTAGTATGTAAAGTAAAATTCCCAATTAAATAATCAATACTAAGATTCCAGCAAATGAGATGGATGATTAGGTCTCATCTTACCAGGAGAAAACATTATATA